GCACAGAAATTGATTTTAAAGTGTTCAAAATATTTATTTCATCAACAAAATCTCCTTCATGCTTGTTTAATACCACACAAGCATCGTCTTCCAAAGACACTTCCAAACTGACATTTTTCTGTGATTCTTGTACCTCAGCTGGAGTGTCTTTGGTCCCTTGGTGCTGTTTGTTGTTCTGCCCAAGTACTTCTGTGGTTCATATGGTTGGTAGGCACCGATGAACCACTGAGAATGGACAAGTTTTGTGTTTTTTAAACTTAAGTATTGGATGTAGTTTTATGCAAACTGCAAATTGGTGTTGCTTGCATAGTGCTAGAGATACACTTTAATTCCAAGCTTCCTTTTTGATTTATATCACTACATGTTTTTTGGAAGAAACCATCAGTAGTCCAGAAAAAATTGTGCATATGTGCTAACCCGAGGGCTATACTGGTTTGTTTGCTTCTTTGACTTTCTAAAGAGATACTGAAATACAAGAGCCATGAATTAGTATTTCCTTTCTGAATTTCAACAACAGTCTTTCCCTCAGTTTTGTAATAATTCTTTCTATTTTTACGATTTGATAGCAGTTGCGTCACTATCAAATGTAGAAACAAGTTTATTTCTTAGTATTAAGGTATTTTTATTGATAAAGATTAGGGTGGGTTTTTTTAGTTTTTTTTACTTACTGTACTGTATGTGGGAAATCCATTTTAACTGTCTATATGATCTTACCAGGTTTTTTTATGACAAGATATTTATAGATGTGTTTTTCCATTCTGTGATAATTACCCAGACTGATTATGTACACAGATCTAAAGCTATGCTGTAGTGAAATGCCTGTGTTGATGGTGAGCACTCGAGCAGTGCCTTTTGGCCTCTGTGATCCATCCTGTTGTAGCCTCCCTCATGTRGGTGAAAGAGTCGCGTCTAATATAAAGATCCATGTGGAATTTCAAGTTTTTTGAGGCAGGTTAGCACTTGATTTTCAGAAAATGACTTTAAGATGCTAGTGTGAATGAAATTAATTTTTACAGTTGCCTGAAGAACATTTCAGGCTGAGACCCAGGGGYGAAGGAGACCCAGCCTTTCAGCCCTCAGCCTGGACTAATTCTTAGGTAACGCTGCTCAATAGTAAGAGTTCAGCAGTTATTGGCTGTTAGCAATAAAGTATGATGGGATTACCAAGAGCTTTTTAACATAACAAGGCATAAATTTGGATTMATTTCAATGACTGCAAAAAGATCTCCTATCTGGTTTAATGGAGGAAGTGACAATTCTCAAAGTGTTTCCCTGTAACAGTAATTTTTTCAACTGTTTTAATGGGCACTTCAAAGGCAACATTCAAAGGAATAATTTCACTGATAGGTTTTAGAACCCTACATGCATAATATGGCATGCTGGTTTCRTAAATTTATGTTTGAGGTTTACTTAGTTGCTTTATGAATTTCTGTACTGAGATTATTGTCATGGGTGATGTTACGTCATTGTAGTTTTGTGAACTAGTACTTTTTCTAAATATATAAATAGATTATTTTCAAAGTTCTTCTTAGATTCTGTGCATCTCTGTAGTGCTAAAGGCTAATGTCTGACTGGGATTTGGATATTCAGTGGTTGTATTTCTAAGAAATTARTATTTATAAATATAAGTGACTTGGCTATATGTTTCCTCAATTATTTGGTTATTAACTTTCTGATCTTGGACATAAAATACAGAGAGAAAAGTTTTTATATTTTATTTTAGGCTAAGTTATATAGCAGTCATTATCTCTTGTTCAAGAAATATGATTAGTGGAGTCACATGAAACTTTTACACTGTCACTATTCTCACTTCTSTTCAAATCTTACTGTCATTACTTTAAATTGTTATTCAGATATGGACATCTGCCTTTTGCAAGTACTGCTTTTTGCTAATACAGAAACTCTAACACTTTGAGCAAGCACTTTCTTAAAAACAGATGGACTGAGAAAAACAAAAGTAGTCAGATTTGACTGTTACAGTAGTTTAGATATCGTGCAGACTACATAAGCTTTTCACAAGGGCGGGAGACAAGTGTGTAAAGTGCTTTTGCTGGTAGGTAGAGGCAGAGAACTCTTCCTTGTTTACTGGCTTGATGAAAACTCAGTTTTGTTTTGATTAGTACGTTTCTGGCCAGCACCTTCTGTCTTTGTCCTGTCTAGCCAATAAACTAATTAGTTCTTATAACTCATTGTAGCACTAATAACGTCTTTAAGACTTTGCAAAAATATGGAGTATTGATATGTTAAAATGGGAGAAGGATGAATCCTTTGACTTGGGTTTTTAAGGAGATTGGGGGAATATTTGTCCCAGTACAGGTTTTGTGTATTTTAAGTTTTGAGTCTAAAGGATTCTGTGAAAAGCAGTTACTTTTGTATTTTGTACTTTTGGAGCTTTGGGACTCTAGCACTGAGCCAATGCTCTGCTAATAAAAGCTCTTGCCAGGGCATATATGTCAGTGTGGATAGCTTTTTTTCTGCCACTTCCTTTAAAAATCTTAGTTTTCTAACATGCAACTCTGTTTCCTGCAGTAAAAATACTGTATCCCTGGAAAGATGTTTGAAGGACAGCAAAATAAGGTTGTGAGGAGGAATTTGATTAGAGTGTTCAGATAGTGTTGTATGCACAGTGGAGATCTGTCTTAAGATATGTGACTCCATTATGTCTAGCTAAAATTCCTGGGCTATCAGGTGGATTGACAGAACTCAACTGTTGCAGATTTAGCACTGTTATATTTGGAAACTACAGAAACTATTAGAACTTTGAACAATAGATTGTCTTAAGTGTTCAGAGAATAATCTGAGAGATACAAATTTTGTGATTGCCTGCCTTGAATAAGATTACCTGGTTTACGGCATGTTTTCTGGAAGTGAGGAAGCAGGAATGAAGAACAAAAGTGACTTAACTGCACATTACCACTGTTTAACTTTATTTTTGTCATTCAGAGCCTCCCTTGTTTGCCATATATGCCACAAGGGTCAATATACTTAATCTTCTAATGTAAGTCTGTTATTTGTTCATAATTTCTTTTTCTTCTCATCCATAAGATGTGTTGTTCATTTCTGGTGAATTTTGAGGACAGTAAACCGTTCACCCAGCTTGCCTAATTACTATAATATGAGCATTAAACTAGTAAATAATGTTTATTTCTGTTCAATGGGATATCTCCACATATGGAGATTCCTTATTTAAGTGTGATGAAACTCACTCGCTTGAGTAGGTCTCAGTTGTTTTTTTTGTGTGTTACCATGACAGTTTTCTTAAGTGAGTTTGAAGTGGTAATTGAGGTATAAATCTACCAGTCCCTACTGTAGGATGCCTGTTCACCTATCTGTGGTGAAAGCTGCAAGCCATTCTCAGTGCTACCTYCAAGGATAAAGGAAGCAAACGAAATCTTCACCTTCTCACTGTAAGAGTTCCTGAGGAGGAGGCAGTCATCCTTAGTGTTGCACATTTTAAGACTAAACCTTTGACTCTGTAGACTGGGGTTCTCAAATGTGGGATTGCGTGATTACAGTGTGCTCCAGGGCTGTCATTGTCACTCCCAGCCTAGCAGGGAGTGACCATACCCTGCTATGGGGTAACACCCTGCATCCTGGCAGCTCCTCATCCAGGGCAGGTGCCTGCCTGCTGGTGCTGAGTATAGCTCAGGTAAGTGCCTGTCAAGAGGCACTTGCTACTAATCAGGAAACAAGGGTGTGGAAGTACTTTCTGAGGTGAGTATCAGGAAATGCTCCTACAGCATACCTGGCAGGAGTTTGTTCACAGTTTCTTGGAAATTCCCGCTTTGTGTTGCATTCAGTCAGGAAAAGCAATGTCTTATAAAACGTGTATATACTGAACTGTGCTTTTTAGTGCACTGACATGCATCTATCTGTGCTGTATGCTGGAGTGAAGCAAATCTGAAACTCATTTTCTGCAATTGCTTTATATGTTTATATCCTACTTTTGGAAGCAGGAAGAACCTTTGTCCTGTGAATACATTTCTGAATTTTACCTTGCTTTAGTGGGACTGAATTCTGTAATGGATGTATTTTATAAGAGCCCAGCTTCTTGAGACTTGACTAAACATTGTGCCAAGGAGGGACAATTTTGCACTGTATTCCTTCTATGGAAACATCCACATTTGGTGTCTTGGAGAGTTGAGGTCTATAAGGAAATGGATCCCTTGCTCTTCCCCTTCTAAAACTGCCTTCTCCAGTAAGGCTARTAGCAGCTTTATTCATCTTAGCTTTTCATATTCCTTTCTGTCACTTCTGATATTAGTTATTTCCTTCATTTGAATGATTGATTTGCATGTATAAAGGTCTTTATTACTCTTGGACTTATGCTGTCCTTAAAACATTTTAAATGTAATAAACTGTTCAGTTCTTGTAATGTCTGAACAGCATGAAATTATGTGCAGACTGTTTTGCTAACCCTAGTTGCTTGGATAATAACAAATGTGTTTCAAGCATAAACTTTTATTTTCAGGTTGTTGTGAATCTGGTAGTAAATTTTCTGGCTATATCATGCATTGTTGCAGATTATTTTAAGATCTACGTATCCAAATATAAACCACTCAAAAAGTATTTCTCCTGCTTTAGTTTCTCTATACTTTACACCCATTGTTCTTCTATAGTTAAGAACAATTCGATGTTTTTAGCAGACTGTGAGACAGTATAGACCAGTAGGAGCAGGGAGTGGGGAAACTGGCACTGTTAGCTGAGGTAATGAAATCCATAATTTATAGCCCAATATTTCCTTAACAGTGGGAGATAAGATACGAGTTAAAGTTGCTTTCTCTTTCAGTCCAATAAATCACCACATCACTGTTTTCATAGGAGAATGTAGATGGCCTACTTTTGGCTTCAGGCTAAATAGGGAAGAGAAATGTGGGAAAAATAATTTGTACATGTTAAACTTCCTTAAGATAAGTTTGCATGTTGTTCCAGTTGTGTCTCATTTAGGCTGAAAAAATATTTGTTCTTGATGTTGACAAAGTCTAATTTTACCTTCACAGATAAATTTGAGCAGTTTTGGGCAATAAATCGAAAACTCATGGAGTATCCTCCAGAAGATAATGGATTTCGATACATCCCATTTAGAATTTATCAGGTAGGAGACAATAAAATAAAGCCACTTTTACCAAACTCTTCCACTGAGGTGTCATATATTTTAATCTGTTTTCAGAATTATATGTTTTCTTTTCTAGCAATATGGTAAAACTTTGCATGCCCATCTTTGCTGGACCCTTGAGTTGTAGGATTAGCAAACAAAATAGACTATATATATTCTAATAGGTGATTAACATTCATTGTATTATAAGTGTGTAATACTTGAGAACATGCTAAGGTTCGTGTACATGATGTTTGTCTGTTTGTTTTTTTTTTTTTTTAAATAATACAACAACCTAATTCTGTTATTTAAAATAACTATTAAATATGAGGAGGGCTTAGATCAAAATGACCTATGAAAGGTCTAAGTCAAGTATTTTAGGAGCAACAGTTTTTCTTCAACCACTGTATAGTCTTCTTTGTTGTTGGCATTTTAAGGTGGAAGTAATGGCATAGGTCTTGCATCTGGTTCTTACCTTTGTCTTCTAATTGGATACTTCACAATCCAAAACTAGCTTTGAATGTTTTTTTCTGTTTTAATGCACCACCACTTTATTTTTCTCAACTTTTTTTGAGATATATTCCTTGGAATATACTTACAACTTTTGACATCTCCCTAGCTTTTATAGCATTAAGGTCACAATGAAGTTTGGAACGTTATATGGTTAAAAAGCTTATACAAGCTACAAACTTGTGTAACCTCTCTGTAAATTAAACAGTTGTGCACTGTTGGAATGTTTTGATCTATTTATATTTAAGTTTTGCACCTATAGCTATGAAAAGAAAGTCCTTTATTCATAGTTATGAATATGCTGATGCTACTTTGTAACAGGTTATAATGACATAGAAACCTATGCAGTCTTTCAGTGGGACTGGAGTAGGTTTTAATGTAAGATGTAAGACATTTACTGTCATAATGAAACCCTAGATTGAGAACGGAAGTCAGTTATTGTCAGAGATCATAGCAGATGGCAAGGTTTGTATAAGAATCAAAAAGTGTGTATCAGGAAAAGCAGTACACACAGCATTTTGTTTGGTTGGTGACTAAGTTGTTTGCTTGTTCTCTGATAGGTGTGGGGTTTTTTAAAAGTCTTCATAGAAATCACGTAAATGGGTTTGCAAAAAAAAAGAAGGTTTTCTGAATAGGTTGCAGATCTTTAAGGTGTCAGGGAAGACTTCTATGATACTACATGATTTCAAGCTAGCAAAGCTTTTTAAAACTAAATGAATAAATCAGTAAAATCTATCACTTTAGCCAGTAGTACTTGTCTTGATTCCCATTGTCTCTTCAATTGGAAGCCCTTACTTGCTGTAGTTTAAACCCAAAATACCTAACTGAGAATTTAAGACCAAATACAAATAAAGATTATGCTGAGACAGCCTTTGAGAAGGTTGGTGTGTATTTTTTCAGTAATACTGCTCTTAGCATTTCTAAATATTTCCAGTGTTTTAAAAAAAGTGGATGCAGGTGTCTTTAGCTTTTTTGTTTGGTTTGTCAAAGTGTGTGCTGATTACTGCTCTGTGTATTCAAAGGAATTTTCAGAAAGCCTTAAGAAGGGTGTGATTGTAATTTAATTCCAAACAAGGAGTTGATTCCTGTAGTTTTAACATAATTTTGCAGCAGTTAGTGACAAATGTGCATATGCAAAAATAACTGATTATTAATTGTTCTTCAGATGTATTTAACTCCCACTTCAAATACATTTAATTTCCATTAATGCTGGCAAAAGTCAGCTTGGCATTCTAACTGGTTGCTTGTATATCCCTGTGTAAACACCTGATTTAACCCGAGTTTGTGTTGCAGTGGATATTTATTCCCTGTGTGTCTTCACACAGTGTTCTTGTAGATCCTTAGGGATACACAGGTGGATGGTAGGAAATGACAAGGCAGGAAATGAAGAACACCTTCAATGGGGAGAGTTTCTCCTTTGTATTTCTATAACTTCTATTACCCCAAATTATTAGAAGGAAATTCTGTGAAAGGAACTGTCTGCATTTTCTTTTGACTGGTACGAGGAGGATGAATTTGTTCTCCTTCAAAGAAATGTACTAGATTATGATATCAAGTAAGAAAAACTGGTTTTAGCAGCAATTAAATGTGAGTTAGCAAAATTGCTGCAGAAAAAATGCATTCAGTAAAGTGATCTGATACTTTTTTTTTTCACTGAAGAATTCATTATTTTTAAAACTCAAAAACTCTTTCGGTTGTAAAGTTTATCTATTAAAATGCATTTCTAAAGAGTCATATGAATCATACCTCCTGTGGTGACCAAATCTGATGGAGTGTGTGGGAGAAAGATGGCAAAAATATGAACGTCGTACTTGGGTAAGTCAGAACTAAACTAACCACAGGTAATTTTAAAAACTCTTGTCCAGCACCTCTTCCTTTAAGTATAGCAGCYAAGATTGGACCAAAATCCTGGTGTTTACAGTAGATGATGCAAAAAAAGGTTGAGAATCACTAAAGATCAACTTGTTTGCAATTTTAAAAGTTAGCTAAGGTATCTGGGAGATTTTATTGCCAGCTGTTGTATTCTGTTAGCCATGTCATACGGAACATGAACCAGATAAACCTTTGATATGGGTGGAAACTGTTCTACCAGAAATGGTTTAAAAATAGTGATTATTTTTTTTCTAATACTTTTACTTTGATGTGTCAAAAAAGAAGTTCCCCACTTCATCACTTAAGAGGTGTAAGCTGCTTTGTCGTCAACAGACAGGTACACAAAACCTTTTTTTTGCCATTTTATCTGATAGTACTGTAGAATAGAGTACTTTTTGCACTTGTTCTTTAAAGATAAGAGAGAAAATAATAGTAATGTTTTGAGTATATTCTGAATTCAAGTGTTGCTTTTCATGTCTAGTACTAGAGCTAGTTTGGCTTTTGGAATTTCCCCCTGTGTTTATAACACCAGCTGATGTTTCACAGTCTAATTGAACACACAGGCTGATAGATGGCAGGAAGTTTTCATCAGTCTTTGGCTCCAGGCACTGTGACAGGGCATATTAGTCAGGAGAGCAGTCTCTACATGCTGAAGAGACTGCTGTGATGAGCTGCTGCCTGCTGTGGGAGCACTCYGRGTCTCAGTTGTTGTGYACTTAGTTTTCACTCATCCTGCAATTTTGGGATTTTGCTCTCTTCCCATGTCACCCACATCATCCTACTTTTCCCAGGAGTCTGCTCTCTGAGTATATAGAATTTAAAGCTGTATATTGTATTTCATTCTTGACATAAAAATTACAAAAGTATGGGAAAGAAAAATAATGAAAATTTCATGACAAGTTCTCCTGAGTTTTTCTAGAGTCAGAATTTCTTGAGGCAGGCTGGTTGTTGTATGTTTGCCAGGCCAAAAAGGGATGATCTGGGATCGTTTGCTTGTTCCTTTTTTTAGTACTGGGAAGTACTATGGTGCTGGAATGAGCATTTCCTTTGCTTCTATTTTTTTGATTAGTTTATTAATTTTATTACTTAATTACATAATAGGTCTTAACTTTGAATAGGTTTTCTGATCATAAGTGCCTTAAGATGTTGTGATTAAGTTGTACAATCACAAATTTTTCGGATATTTATCTTCCTTAGTAAATTGAGTGAAATTGTCCATACTTAATAGTACATCAGCACTTTGCTTTTTATGTCAAAGCTGCAGTATTGAGATGTCTGAGTAGACATAAATGTTTGCCATGACCTGTCCTCTGAAAGTAGCAACATGGGAGTGGGAAATGAAATATTTTAAGACATTATTAATATCCGTCTCAATAAATGAATCAGAAGCTCAAGCATGGTCATTTCCAGGCAGTTGAAGACTGTTGTATTCATATTTCCAAATTAATTGGCAGAGTTCTGATAATCAATTGCAAAACCCATTACAAGTATGCAAATCAGCAGCATAATTTGTCCCATGTTATGACAACTATTAAAAAAATGATCAAAACAGATTGTTTGGAAAGATACTGGGTCTCCCTGTAAAGTTTTCAAGCAATAATTATATTTACCCTTTGATGCTAGTAGGTAATTAATTTTTTTTTTTTGTTATTATTATTGAAAAGTCTCCATTGCATTTCAAGTCTGAACTTGTCTGACTTGACAGTTTCTGGGTTCTGTTTTGCCACTTTAAAGTCATCTGACTTCCTGACCTCCCAAGTTCACTTATGGATTGATTTCAGGAGCTTTCTTTGGTAAGCTGAATCAATTGAGCTCTTTAAGCCTCTTGTCATGAGACTTGCTTATCAGTGCTGAAGTCAGTTTTTAGTCATCTTTTCAAATGCTGTCCGATATTTTGATAATCCACAAGATTAATATTGAGGTTAGGGAGACATAAAGGGCAAAAGTCAAGTTTATATTTATAGGATATTAAACCAAAAATGCTTCAAGCAGTGGTGGAATGCAGGTGAACTTAGCTGCTACTTGAAACCTCAGGTCTGAAAAATGGTATGAAAGAAATTGCAACGCAGTAACTCAGCAAGCAGAAGAACTGGAAAATGTTACGTGCTGCTGACCTGAAGAGGGCAACACAACACAGCAAGTTTCAGCATTTTGTTGAGAAGTGTAGAATGCTATTGAACAGATCTGTGTACAATGCCTTTTTTTTTTCATATTTATTAAAAATTATCTTTTCTTAAAGCACCTGCTGAAAATAGACTATTTGTTTCTTAAAAACTTCCTTTTACAAGGAAGAAGTTTGAGTGAATAGTAAAATCATGTGAAATGGCGATTTGTGTAGCAGAGCTGGGCTCAGCTGAATTTCTGTGAAGAGAAACAAATGGACTGTGATTTGTTCTAATAACTAATGGTTCAGTACTAAAGAAACCGTAGCACACTTCAACTATTTTTAAATTACTTCCAAATGAAAACTATACGAATGTGAAAGTTTAAAAGCTTTGTTAGGTAAATATTTTTCCTAATGCCTCATGATTGGGGAAAAAGTAAAAGAAACCCTTCTGTCAAGTATTGCATGGGGGCAACATGATCCTTAAACACTTGTTTTCTGAACTGGGTTGTTTTGTTCTGTGCTGAAAGTAATAGCAATTTGACTAGTTGTCACCTTGAGTTGAAGGTCGTTGTGGCCACAGTTGAGGTTCCATAATTGCGTAAGTTTTTCTTATGCATCTCAGTGCACAGTGAAATGAGCTGGCTCAAACCAGTGCTGTTACAGATGACTTTTTTAGCATATTTGTATTAAGGAATGCCCATGCAGCTCTCTTAAGAGACTTAAGGAACCGAGATGCAAGATCAGCCTTGCCTTTTAGAATCTTGGTACAGGATGGGAGTTTCAAAGAAAAATTCTGAGATTATAAATGATCTTTGCTGTCAAAATGTGAGTAAAGTTTCCATAAATATGCCCAAATAGTCTGTAAAACTGTCAATCTCTCTGTTTCAAAGCTATGTGAAAGTTACACAGTGCTCAGGGAAGGAGATGCAGTGGAGATGGAGCTGTAACACCTTGATTTGGGTTGATTCTCTGCTGTGGTTGAGCTGTGACCAAGCAGGATGGTTTTAATCTGGTTCAGGCCTGTCAGTTGGAGCTACAGTAACTCTTCTGAGTTGAATGTAGATGTAGCTTGTATGCAGTGAATGAAGTAGTTTTTCTTGTATACAAAATAGTTTGTTGAGGTTCTGGGTTATATTCCATCTGGTGTGAAATAATTTCGAGATATACTGGATTCTGCTTATTGAGGAAAGAATCAGTAGAGTTTTTTTTAAAATCCTTTTTTTCTTGCAATACTTAAGACACTTGTAACTCTCAGAAGAATCTTAAGTATATGAAAAACCAGTAGAATCCTACTAGTTAATAAATTAACTTTGTATAAACAGTTCTATGGATTTTTTTTTTTAAGTCAGAGTACATCTTAGTTACAATGAAATAATTTTTGAACACTTTTTGTGGGGAAAAAAGTCTATTCCCAATTTGAAAATACCTTAATCTTGCCTCTTTGATGCTCAACTGCAATTTGGTAGTTACTTTTTAAACTAGTTGATTTTTTTTTATAAAACTCTACATTTGTTGTCTTCTTTCAATTGTCTTATGATAATGGAATTGGGTGTAAATAAGTTTGGGTAAGTGTTCATGCTCCAAGTTTGAAATTAAGCCATGAGGTTTGAATTCTTGTGGCTCTTACTTCCCTAAACTGTTTCATTAAGGTGGTACCCTTATATATCATTGTATAGATATATACCCATTGTATATCATAAGGTGGTAGATTTATATATCATTGTAAATTTATTAGGAAAGTTAGTGTATGTATGCAGTTTGTTTTTTTTTTAAATGGCGCTTTTTACCTCAAGGGAAATCTTGAATCTTTATTCTTAAGGACATTGAGAAGCTGTGATGAACACAATTAATGAAGCAGTAATTCAGTTGAGCTGGGTCTGTGTATAGTTACTCATTGATCGTGTAATTTAAATGCATTGCTCTTCAGCATACAGCTGCCTCTCTCCTCTGATCATTTTACTGATCATTTTACTTTTCCATTTCGCTTGCTTTAGTCAACACAAACTGATTTGCCACTTTCACCACATACTTTGTAATGTGGTCAGGTTTTTATTTTGTGGCAAAAGGGACTTTGCCTACCTGAAGCTTACAATGTGCAACTGTATTCATCAGTTGATTGGCTTTTGTACTCTGATGTAATAGCAAAATTTAAAAAAAAAAAGTAGTTGGTGAACTGCTTTGTGCTCAGAAAAAGGGAAAAAGCTGATATGGAATATTTTCTTCAGTGAAATTAAAAATGTCATCCTCAAGGGGTATTTCTGTGGCTGTGCTGCAGAAACAATTCCTGTTGCTTAGGAATTAAACTAGAACTAAGCCTAGCCTACAATGCTGATACAAAACTCTGCATAGGTGAAAGCTACAGCCAGTACCTGTTTTGACTTATCAATATCAGTATGCTACCTTTACTTATTTTAAAATAAAATAGGCGAATAAAGCAGGTTAACTTCTGCACAAAGTTGAGGATTAGAAAGTATTCTGTTTTTTGGAAAGTGCCAAGACTTGTATTTGCACTTTCCAGAAGACTGGAAACAAATTCTCTATGGGTAAATGTAAATGGAACAAACCTATGAGGAAGGCGGATATGACACCGTACTGTAGAAATACAATATGAATTAGCAAACAAATTTTTGAAATTTTGCTGCCCTTGATTGTGGGAGTTCCTTCCAGTTAATCATGACTATAGGAAATTACAGAGAATTACTGGATTTAATGGTTTGAAGTAGCTTGAAAGTAGTTTATGAAGTATTGTATTCTTCACTGCTCTTAAGCAAGCAATGTAGTGTTTGCTTTTGTGGATATAAATC